CTCTTTTTTAGTTGGCTACCATATGTATCCCTGGATTTGGTTTGGCCACTGCCATACTATCTGGACCTCACCTTAAGAATGTTTGTATACAGTAGCTTTCTTGCTGACTAACTTGTGAATTATTTTACACCCAATGTTTTCCCTTTTCATTGATCTGTTGGGAAAGCTACATGCTAAAGTATTTTGAGCATTAGCGGCACCTTGAGAGTTTTTGAAACACCCTGAAGTCTAGTCTCCAGCACTGAACAAATGAATCAGAATATCTGGGGTGGCTGTGATACTGACGGCTTAAGGGCATCTTTAGGAGGTTGTAATGCGCAGTCAGAGTCCAGAGTCACTGGTCTACCTCATACTCCCTTCGTATGGGTCACACTTGATGGTCATCCATAAAGGCTGAATTTCAAACCCTCTCACCAGTTAGCTTTGACTAGTTAGACTCATCAGAGGGTGAAATCTGAGGACCTGAGTGGGTGATACCATTTCTGAGGAGAAGCAGAGGCCCTGGTGGGCACTGTGGTCCAGAGCACCAAGAGACGAGGAAGCACAAAAGCACGGGAACCCTTCCTGACACTTTCACTTGGAATCATGTACATTGCGGTTGGGTTCAGCCGGGATTGTCGTGTCTTTGATATCGGGGAAATAAATCACTCTTTTCTATTCTCTCTACTCAGACCAACTCCCCTCATTTTCTTCTCACACTAGCAAACCCTTCTTCTGTCCATACTTCAAGGCCAAGTCAAAATTTATGCCCTCCTCCATGCAATCTCCAGACTCCTCCTTCTGGGACTCGTGCCTCTATTTTCCTGGGGGTTAATTGACATGGTACTAGCATTATTTGCTTTTCACCTCTTCCTCCTCTGTAAGGCTCTCCCCAGATTATGTGCTGGCACTGATCAAAAGCATCTAGTAGTCATTTTGAATCTTTAGTGGCTCGCCCGGCTGCTGGACCAGAGGTCAGAATCCACTCAGAGTGAAATGGGAAAAAAAATAAAGAAAAAGGGATGTATATATATGTGAGTATTGCCATAATTTTAACTGAGACCTTTAAAACATAACATTTTGTTTTTCCAAAGGTAATGCCTACACGCTTTAGGAGACCAAAAAGTAACGAAGAACAAGATGAAGATAACATTAACTTTGCTACTTAAGAAAACCCTAACTTGAACTTTAAGAATAAAAGTTTAAAAAAGTAAACTTATGCATGTCCTTTTTAATTTCTTCTGAAAAATTTTATTGTCTGTCTCCTGATATTTCCCATTTCTTTTCTCCTAGCCAGCAAAAATCTTAGAAATGGGATGTTCATGGCTGTATGATAGACATCCATTCTCCAACTCTGAATAACTTTCTTATTGTTGCCCACAGCCTCCTCTGTGACCCGTTGTCTGCATACCTGGTGATTGCATGGCAATCTGTGTATTCTAGTATTAAAGTTTAAAACTTAAATTCAGCTTTCTTTGGTTTTTTCAATTTCCTCTCTTGACCAGACCACAACTCTCTAAGAGGGTCCAGTACATCCCTCTCAGTGTCCACCTTCTCTTGAACGTCCTGTAGTTCAAGACTGGGCCAGCCAGTCTTGCTTTTCCCCTCTTGGTGGAGAGAGCACTCTGAGGCTAGCTGGAGTAACCTTGTGAGCTGCAGGCCCATCGTATGGCTGTTGAATAGTCATCCTGTTTGTTCATCTGCAGGCCTGTCTGTGGCAGCATTGATACCCATGGTGCACATGTCTTTGGAGGCCACCCTGGGTTTGCCGTTTGGCTCTCAGGTTGCAGCTCTCTGGGTCACATTTCCTTTATCCTCCTTTAAAGCCTGACTCTAAATCATCGTGAAGGAGCCCTGCTGGTATAGTGGGTTACAAATTGGGCTGCTAACCATAAGGTCACCAGTTTGAAACCACCAGTTGTCCCTTGAGAGAAAGTTGAGAATTTTTTACTCCTATGTAAAGAGTTAGAGCCCCAGAAACCCACAGAGGCACGTCTAGCCTGTCCTTTAGAGTTGCTATGAGCCTTAATCTGCTTAATGGCAGTAATTTTTCCCCCCTGTAATTTCCATTTCTTTAGGTATTAGTTTTTTTTCTCTTTTTTAACATTTTATTAGGGGCTCATACAACTGTTATCCCAATCCATACACACATCAATTGTGTAAAGCGCATTTGTACATCGTT